GTAAGTGACGTCAATATCACAGTGGGTGACGTAAAGCCCCGGGGGGGCCCCAACGCACCTCCCCAGTATTCTTTATTTGAAGAATATGTCGTCATTGCCAATTGGGTCCATCCCTTCAACTCTTAAAATTTTTGATACAAATTAGAATCACTTTCCTGATATTAAAAAAGTTAATGGTTATCTAACAACCAAACTCTATGATAAACGTGATGACTTTACCCTTTCAATCTTCAAATTTTTAACTTATGCAGCGGTAAACTTTCATCACCTGCATACTGAGTTTATATATCTCAGTTGATTCTATATGCAAGAGCAAGTTCTATGTATGAACAATTTCTCAAAGGAGGTAAATTATTGATAAACAAGTTGATGACACAAGAATACCAGCAATTTCGTTTAAAGTCATCAGTTCGTAATTTCTATGGTCAATGCAATGACCTTGTCAGCAAAAACAATTTATCATTGAGTAAAATACTGACTGATGTTTTTCATACTTATTGTAGTCCATTATTTATACACTGAATTGACGACGGATTTTTCCTTTATTTCCCGATCATGACAAGGAGCACACGGCGGGTGTGACCGGTCGGCAGGGGATGCTCACTCCTCCATGGGACCTGATCCCACCTCTGATGTTTTGGAGGTCCGTGTTTTCTCTGCTCCTTTTTTGTATTGTATTACCGGTATAGACTTTTGATCTTGAATATTGTTCGTAATCTTCATATATTTCATTCTAAGGACACATACTATGATACTGATTGCAGACAAAATTAGTTTCCTCTTTAGTTCTATATATTTATAAACTGATCTTAGTGATTTCAAGACGGATCATGTCAGGAATTTGTACAACTTGCAAGACATTTCCATAATAAAATATGGTTTGTTTAGATTAAATGAGAAATTAAACATACGAGTTGTCAATGATGAGTTCTGGACGCCAGATTTTATTTTGTTTCGTGTAGATGTATTCTATATCGCCGTACGAGGACTTTGTCCATACCAGGCGAGGATCTTCCCATCTCTACAATTGATAGACTTTTCTGGGATAAATAAATCAACATAATATTTCTTTGTTTAATTCATGTGTTGCTGTGAATTATATGAAAAAATACAGTGAGAACAAATCAAACGAAAGTACGTCAACTTATTGCAAATTATTGGCAAGTGCTTTAGAATTTTTGAACCCTTCTTTCAAAAAACATTTTGTAATCTCTTGGACTGTTAAAATATCAATTAAACTAACTAGGTTGATTTTATTGTTAGAAAGATATCAATTACCTATGAATTAGAAAATACAACATCATTAGATTGGATTTGTTTGAACTTGTTTTTCATATCGACTATACAACTACTAATTATGCTTTTTGTTTTTTAACATAATTTGACTATACGTATGATAATTATAATGAAGGTTTATATATTTATTTACATTCATCGTTATAGGTTAATCTACAAGAAAAATATCTGTTACATTAAAATAATAATGCAGAAAAAAAGTGTTGTTTTTTTTCAAAAAATGTAGAATATATTAAATTTGCCACAAAGCACCTAAGGTATGATAAATACTTTGAGATTATTTTTTAACTGGATATATACCGACATTATACCTTTAAAAAACATAAAACAGAATTCACAGTTTGCTTACTACATGGAGATATTTTTCTAGGTAGGATCTTTTTCTTTATCTTTGAAATAAATAGTGAATATTTGTACTTTTGAAAACTAAAGAAAATCTTAGGCCGGTTTACACTATGCATCTTGACACATGCATCTGAACTCATTCTTCTATTTTGCCTCATGCGTCTTCTTATTTACACTATGTGCCTTGATGCATGCATCTTTAGAATACTTTGTAAAGATGAAATTTATCTACTTAAAAAAATAACAATACCTTAAAATTTTATTTCCAGATTTATTTTAGCTGAACAAATCATTCTTAATTTCCTTTTTATGATAATTTTTGGAAGATATAATTTATTATATATTCCAAAACTAAAAATCCTCTATATTATAATAATCAAATTAGTTTTTCTAATTGTAGTTTTAATCAGTATTTTCTGTTTTTGTGTATCTTGGAAGCTATTTTTGCAACTATATGGAGGAAAATAAGGCTTATGATTTAATCTCAACTCTGACCTTTCTTTTCAGTGGTCAGTTCATGCATCTTAAGCACTGGAATAGAACAAGTTCTATTCGATCGTTCAAGATGCAACACCCATTTAATTTGACACAAAGGGTTATTATATTGTGAATCTTACACATGCATACATGATGCATGTGTCAAGATGCATAGTGTAAAGCGGCCTTAAATGCTTCTCTTTTTATGCAAGAAAAAACTTTGAGATTATGAAAAAATAACTTAGAACGTCTTATTAATACGTACAACCGTCATCCATCCGGATGTGGACATAGTCTGACTTTTTATGTCCTACAAAGGAAAAATAAAAATCTCATTAAGCTACAGAGAAACCACTTATCTTCGAGGTCTTATTATTTGAAGTTTGTTTAGAAATTGCTGATTCAAGGGGTTTCAATTTCCTGCTTGATAGAAAGATATGAAGTTTATTTTGAAATTTTAGAGAATAAATTTTGGGTTTGTTCATATCTCAAAACAAAGGAATTCGAACCAATTCGATAATTAGCGATTTCACAATATATACTTTTTAAAAACTAAGTTCTATAAATGAAAATCTTACACATTTAAGAACGCACTTACATACTGAAAAAGTATTAAAATTATCTTTTTAAAAGTTTGGTAGATTTACCAGGTCATTTAAAGAGAATAGGACAAATTCAATGCTGATGTTTGTGACGTCAGAAGGTCTCACGTGATTGTTATAAGAGCTACCAAGCAGAGCATTATGAATGTTTGTGGCATGTGTAGTTGTAAAAGCCCCTGAAGAACCTACAAGCAAAATTTTCAGATATGAATGAAACATGCAGAAAGGAGTAATTTCAAAAAGGACTAGTGCTAATTGTAACGGGGACCGTTACAGATGTTCCCCAAACGCTCCCCAACTCCCTTTTAGTGCCATATTCCCTGTAATATACTATATATGAAAGCCTTCAGTCCAAAAGTATTAAAAATCACTCATTCAAGTGTATTTCTAATTTCATTCTTTTCAAATGCACGCACGTGCGTGCACGTGCATTATGACCATACCTTTCTGTAGGAGTCCCTTATATCTATCTATGTTCTGAATTCCATCCTGTTTGGTTAAAAAACAAGGGAGTTATAGCCATTTCAAGTTTCAGCCAATCAGATTGCAGCACACGTGCATGCGCGTGATTTCTTGACTTTTTTATATCACATTGTAGGATATCCTAATAAATGTCTATGTTTCAAATTTCAAAGCATTTCGTCAAAAAACAAAGGAGATATAGTCATTTAAAGTTTCAGCCAATCAGATCGCAGCACACGTGCATGCGCGTAATTTCTTGAATTTTTTTTTTGTATATCATATTGCAGGACATCCTAATGTATGATTATGCTTTAAATTTCAAAGCATTTCGTTAGAAAACAAAGGCGATATAGTCATTTAAAGTGTCAGCAAATCAGATTGCAGCACACGTGCATGCGCGTGATTTCATGATTTTTTTTCTATATCATATTGTAGGATATCCTAATTCATGACAATGTTAAAAATTTCAAAGCATTTCGTCAAAAAACAGAGAAGATACAGAGATTTTTGATTTAGCCAATCAGAGCGAAGCGCACGTGCATGCGCGTGAGTTCGTGCTAATTTGACAGTGTCACACTATCTACACTATTAATATATCTTTATATACTGAGTTTCAAATCATTTCATTTAAAAATTTAAAAGTTATAGCTATATTAAGTATATAAGTCATTTCACGTGTTGCACGCGCACGCACGTGCAAGCGTTTGCGCGCAAAATGACCTTCGTTCCGCACACCTACACTACACACCCATTAACCCTAAAAAGGTTTTAGGTCAGTTGGGTGAACAGTTTCTGAGAACACTTCCGGACAAAAAATACCGGAGAACAAATAAGAAAAAAAAGAATAATAATAATAATAATAACTAGAAACGATCTCGTTGCGAGCAACGAGAGGTCTTCCGTCCGATTCTGAAATAAAATACGAAAAATCTAGCAGAAAAAATGATAAAAAAAAATTTGGACATTCGGGGGAGCGAACCCGGGTCGCCCGCGTGACAATCCAATGCGCTAACCATTCGGCCATTGAAAACACCGCTTCAAATTTTTAAATGCGAATATCTCGAGATTGCCTTTTTCAATTCTAAAACAAATTACATATTACGCATTTGCAAATGGGTCTCTATTTGAATTAATAACATCAAAGAAAAATATTGAAAAACAAAAAAGTTTTAAAATTGCATATTTTGAATACGCTTCCGGTAGAAACCGGAAGTAATGACGACGCACGAAAAGGCGATTCTGCAAACCACAAAATCATGATCTTTCATCTTCAATAAGTCTCCAGTTCATATCCTCAGCCATTTTCGATAAAAGTGCGCGACAAAATCGCATTTTAAAATCAGGAAATCGTCCATAACTTGGCACCGAAAGTGAATTTACCAAAAAAAATTACAGACTGCACAACTTCATATAATGACGCATATTTTGTGAAAGTTTCGCTGAAATCCGCTGAATGGTTTTCGAGAAATCGCGTGCACAAAATTTTGTCAAAAAAAGAATAATAATAATAACTAGATGCGATCTCGTTGCAAGCAACGAGTAGGTCTTCCGTCCGATATCTGATTGAATAAGACCTGTGTTGGAATAATTCCACTAACAGGATAAAAAATGTCAAAAAGGCACAAAAATTCTTCAAAATATGTTAGAAACACAAAAATGTAGGATCTATCGATTCCAATCAACTTTCGGTTCTACGTATTCACTTCCGGTTCAACTGTATGTGTCAAATCAACTTTCAATTCTACATCAAGCATGCAGTAATCATCCCTGAAAGTTTCGATGGAAAATACTTATTTTAGACAACTTCCGGTTTGAACGAACCGTACTTCCGGTGGAAATATTAAGATGCTACGCATTCTTTAAATCTCTATAATGAACAATTACATTCATTAGAAAATAAAAAAAAATCGCGATACATGTACATGTATTTAAATTTAATGTACTTCCGGTATACAACGGAAGTGTCGACGGAAAAAACGAACAAATTTAATGTATGCATATTGTTGGGAACATTATTTTGACCATCTTTTGTTCATTATTGCTTATCAAAATATTCACGCTTTTCGAGATATAAAGCGTCAAAGATTTAGCATTCTAACCCCTTGTGACCCTTTATTACGTAACTTATGATCAAATTTTTAGTATATATTGTTGCAAATAGTTAAGTTGAGTATCTTTGCTTCAGTAATATATCACAAAATATTGATCATTAAAGAGTTAAAGACGAGAGACTTTTGGCCCCTCTTTGCCCTTAATTTGAAGGGCTAACCCCATTTTCTGTGATATCAAATGAAAGGTCTTACTATATTGCACATTTTTTATTATATATGTCTTAACAAAATATTAACCAGTAAAAAGATATAAAAGAAAACGTATCAATTTTTGCGAGATGCGCATATGAGCCTATTTTTTGAGCCCAGGCGAGCGTCGATTCCTTTTTACCTGGAAAGCTCTATATGCAAAATGTCACATCTACTATCCTTCCTCAACCTTCACTGAAAATCTCAAGTCGATATCTTCAGTCGTTTAGGAGGAGATCTCAGGACAAGCCTACCCTCTAAAAATCAGAAAATCGTCCATATATCACGACCGGAAGTGACGTCATCAGCGACGAAAATTTCCGACAAGGTTCAGATGAATATCCATCAGATCTGAAAGTTTGGTGAAAATCGATCCAGCCGTTTCCGAGAAATCGCGTGCACAAAATCGGTAAGAAAAAAAATAATAATAATAGGGAAAAAGAAACCGAACGAAAACAATAAGGTCTTCCGTTGGAGACGGAAGACCTTAATAATAACTAGTGCTAATTGTAACGGGAACCGTTACAGATGTTCCCCAAACGCTCCCCAACTTCATTTTGGTGCCATATTCCCTGTAAGTTTCATTAAATAAGACAAACTCTGTGCATTTTTGACTTTAACAACGTTTACCGAGAAGGATACCAATTACCAAAGGATACCAATTATATTCAAACTGTAGCATTGCACCCAAGCGCATGTGAATGCATGTGCGTTATGACCATATCATCTTGTCTACACTATCTATATATTTTTTAATATACTATATATTAAAGCATTCAGTCCAAAAGTAATAAAAATTACTCATTCAAGTGTATTTTTAAATTACCAAATGCATGCACGTGCGTGCACGTGCATGATGGCCATACCTTCTTGTAGGAGTCCCTTATATCTATCTATCTTCTAAATCTCATCCTGTTTGGTTGAAAAACAAGGAAGTTATAGCCATTTCAAATTTCAGCCAATCAGATTGCAGCACACGTGCATGCGCGTGATTTCATGAATTTTTTTCTATATCATATTGTAGGATGTTCTAATGCATGTCTATGCTTTAAATTTCAAAGCATTTCGTCAAAAAACAAGGGAGATATAGCCATTTAAAGTTTCAGCCAATCAGATTGCAGCGCGCGCGCATGCGCATGCTTTCATGAAAATTTTTATTTATCAGTTGTAGATCTTCATAATGTATCCTATGTTCAAAATTTCAAAGGATTATGACAAAAAACAAGAAAGATATTGAGACTTTAGTTTCAGCCAATCAGAGCGAAGCGCACGTGCATGTGCGTGAGATCTTGCTATTTTGACCATGTCATCTTGTCTATACTACTAATGTATCCTTACATTATGAGTTTCAAAAAAATCATCAAGAAATAGAAATATTATGGCATCATCAATAAAATTGGTTATTTCACATGTTGCATGTGCGCGCTCTTTCCAGCACATGTGCATGTACGTGCTTTCATGAAAATTCTTATATATCAGGCTGTAGACCTTTATAATGTGTGACTAAGTTCAAAATTTTAAAGGATTATGAAGTTAAAACAAGAAAGATATTGAATGACTTATAATATCCAACAGCCAATCAGAGCGAAGCGCACGTGCATGCGCGTGAGATCTTGCTATTTTGACCATGTCATCTTGTCTATACTACTAATATATCCTTACATTATGAGTTTTAAGAATTTTCATAAAAAAATAGAAAAGTTACGGCAATATCCATTATATTGGTCATTTCACGTGTTGCACGTGCGCGCTCTTGCAAGCACGTGCGCGCAAAATGACCTTCGTTTGGCAACTCTACATAACATGCCTACTGACCCTAAAAAGGTTTCACCTAAGTCAGATGTGTTGTTTACAAGATCACTCGTGGACAAAATTTTCCCAGGAAGAAGAAAAATAATAATAACTAGATGCGTTCTTGTTGCCGGTGCAACAAGCAGGTCTTCCGACCGACTTCTCTTTTTCCATATTGTCTGCGTCATCCCATGAAATAGATTTCATAATGTATTTTTTCGTTTACGTTCATTTACAGCAGTTTCTCAACACAGATCGTGATTGTTCCAGGTATTGCACAAAATATCTCCAAATATAGCTTTTAAAAATCGGCAAAATCTTCCACACATGTTATAAAAGAGTGAAAAGAAATTTGCAACTGAAAAAAGACAAAAACAAAGAAAAAATTTGGGGAACGCCCCGAGCGGGATTCGAACCCCCGACATTAAGACAAAGTATGGTTCGGTCATATCTTTGCAATAAACGCACGCATGAAAAAAATAAAAACATATATAGATATCTTTGAAGACGCTCTATAAACCCTGTAAATCCGAAAGAAAAATATTGAAAAACAAAAAAGTTGAAAAATTAGACTTTTTGAATTCACTTCCGTTTGCGACCGGAAGTAGGAACGACA